TCATGTTTTTCAATTCCTCCTACTTGCTTCTGCACAATCCCAACTGTTAGTCTTTCTATATATTTTACAATCTAGATATATTTATATTCTGATTTGCCAAATATAAAGTTTATGAGATTTTCTTTCTTTTTTCTTCTTTCTTCCTTGTGCATGTGTATTTTCTTGATTTTCTTATTATTCTCCATAAGTTTTTGAAAAAGATTTCCAGGGAAAGAAATGAATAATGCTGACTTATACAAACATTTTTATACTACAAATACGTAGGCTAATTTTTTTTAACCTTTTTTTGTTGTTGGCTGGTATAGGGATTGAACCCCATATCTTAGTGTTATCAGCACCACACTCCAACCATCTGAGCTAGCCAGCCAGCATCCTAGGTTAATTTTAACATGAACCTTAACCAGTACTGGGAGGGAAAAGAGAAAGAAAGAAAAAGAAGAAGAAGAAGAAGGAGAATAGGTAGAAGATGGCAATGAGGGAGAACAAAGTACAGGGAACCTGCCTATAATTTTAAAATAAAGTCTAACATACCAAAAGTGGATTATGATATGATTTCCCTAGATCACAAAACCTGGCTTTATAGGTGACATATATTCTAAAACCCATGGCTTAAGAACTGATTTGATTAGAAAAATGAGGTAGCTGGCTGATATCATAGATACTTGCAAATAATATAGCAGGAGAATCCCCAAGTTTATATATGCACGGGTAACTCTGAACATAACCAGTTAAGAAACATGAACTCAAAAATATTCACTAAAGAGAAATGATCATTCTGTTCATTTGAAAGGATCTGAAAACCCATAACTGCATGTTCTTCAGTCCTATCTCCAAACCACTGAATCAGAATCTCCAGAAATAAGATGCGACAATCTGCATTTTAACTCCTCAGGTGATCCTAATGCAAATTACAGTGGGGGAAACACCGGCCCACTGGCCCAAACTGGCCCTATCATTTACTGAATGACTTACAGACATTATTTTACTTAGCCCTCATGAAAGCCTGTGAGGATGCATTCAAAGATTTTTATAAATGAGATACCTGCAGCCTAGGGAGGTTGAAAAACTTGCCCAAGGCCACAGTGCTGGGAAGCAGCAGAGCCAGTGTCTGACCAACTCACACACACAACTTCAAATTATTTTCTAATAGTTGTAGGTTCTCCAAAATGATTTTAAAACTTTAGATTTAGTGAGCAGGGAAGAGAAGAGAGAGTCAGACAATAGACAGACAGGTGTTACCTCAAAAGGAGAACTGCTGGAGAATGTAAACAGGCTCAAATTTATCAACTAATTTCGTAGATGAGTGCTCCACAGTCAGGGCATGTGAACCGTGTAGCCACACTGAGAAGGGCCCACACTGGGGGTTTAATGCTCTGTGGCTGCCGTCTTGAAATTCTTAATGTAAGTGAAGTCCAGTGGGCCAATGGAGCATGTGCCAAGGCTTGGAGTCTTGGCTCGTGCACTGTCCCATCACATCCCCCCCATGGCTTCTTAGTCACCCAATTCCTCATCCCAGGCTCCCAGCACCCACCAGTCTTCCTCTCTCCCACTACCTAGTGACTGCTGCTGTCTTCAGCTCCCAGCAGTGGCCCAAGTGCAAGAAAAGGATGTGGCAGGTGGGGGTTGTACACCCGAGGTGTCTCAGGCAGGGCATGGAGGCAGCCACTCCAGTGCGTTTGGAAAAATAAACTTGGAGGTACCTATTCAGCATGGGCTGGGACAATGGGACGGTGGACAGGGGAGAGGCCTGCTTCAACTTCATTGCCCCACTGGCCAGGGCACAGTGTATCAGCCAGCGGCAGGAGAAAAGGGGAACATGGCAGCTGGACAGCTATGTATGCGCTAAGTCACAGAGTGAGGCCCCAGGTATCTGTGAGGGTCTGCATTTGCCCTGTGAGTATCCCTGTGACTGAGGGAGCATGACATTACATACCAAATAAAAAGCACCTTGATAGGCTGAAAGACCGTGGCAGGAAGGGAAAAGCTTTATTTTTTTGAACTTTTAACCTCACTTTTTTGGTGTTTTTTGAACAAAGCGTCCCACATTTTCATTCTGCACTGGGCCTCACAAATTATGTAGCTGGCCCTGTACATGGTAGATTTTAAGGATTTTTGAGGGTACATCCCTACACACTTGAAAGAAGATAACCATGCCTTCTACAAAAGGTCACTTGGAACTGTAGCCAAGGCTAGGATGCTGGATGATCACTCAAGCACATACAGATTCTCCAAGCCCTGCTCTTCCTATTCTAGTCAACCCACATGTTACTTTTTCATTATCACAAATAAGACCGGAGAACTACAAAGAATACAAGGAAAAACAGTTCCAACTTTGGCAGCATTTAAAACAAGAGCCTTCTGTTTTAATTACGTAAAAGCTTTCCAAAGGAATCAACTTGGAAATTGAGAGAATATGACTATTAAAATTAGCTAGAAGCAAATATTCTGCAGAGTGATCAACCTGGCTGCAAAACCTTTTTATTACCTTTATAGAGGGAATTTCTCCAGTAACCATATTAAACATAAGGCAAGGGAAATAAAATATCCACTGCAGGATTTTTAAAGGAAGGCATAAAATTTAGATTGAAAACTCATTTTATTATTCATTTAGGATATTGTGTGTTTAATACATTTAGAGTAGTTCACAAATGAAATATAAATGTGTTGTAATTCACATTAAAAATGACCTGATAATTCCCTACATATCTGCTTTTTTTAAGAGGGAAAAAAAGGTGTTTCACTGCAGTAAATTGATACACTAAGTGAAAATGCAAGCTTTTCTTAATATTTTCTTCCTTTAAACACCATAGATATGTGTCCCTTCAGGCTGGAGCTTGGCAATCTACAACCAACCCACAAAATACCAAAAGAGCTCTTCCTAAAATTCCATTCATTCCTCTCTTCTTCCTAGCATAGATGTAGAAAAACACCTGGTGCTTTCTTACACTTTTCCAGGATAAATACCATTTTTAAAAGGAAAGAGGGGAAAACCCTAGAGAATTCTGGCAGAAACGAAGAGCATAAAACAAAAGTATTTGGATATTGTAGTGGGTTAGAAATCTTGATTCTCCTTTGATCTTAGAATAGGATTTTTAGGTAATGCATGAATGAGCCAAAAGGCTCTTGAGTAGGGGACAAAAGTCCACAGATAAGTTTGGCAAAAGTCATCTAATCAATTCTATTTAGGGATGGGATTGCGTACTTTGACTGTTTTAGGTTGCTGGTTTGATTACGGCTTGAATGACTATTGACTATTTAACCTATTGATTGTTCTTTAGATATGTTAAGGAAAATGCTTGAATGCTGTTTAATATGCTAAAGTAATCACTGTAGGAAGTATGTAGAAAAGAAAATGCTTACTAAGGACAAGCTGTTTGCTGGTGAATTGATCTAGCTTTTTACAAATTACTTTCTGGAATGTCACATTGTTCATTTACTGCTGTTACTAGTTTTACACTGCCTGTTTTTATGTCCTTCTTTGATGACTGAATCAACTGATTTTTCTTGTAAACTTCCTTGTCTTGTCAATAAAAAGAAAGGCTGATTTTGAATCAGGCTGCCTGTTTTTATGTCCTTCTTTGATGACTGAATCAACTGATTTTTCTTGTAAACTTCCTTGTCTTGTCAATAAAAAGAAAGGCTGATTTTGAATCAGGGCTGCTCCCCTGATGGGCAGCAGTCCCTCCAGGCCTCATTGATGGTACTTTGAGTGAATTCTTTCTTTCTCTTTTTTCCGTCTCGGTTACACAGAGGAAAGTGTAACAGGATATTTAATTAATAGTTGTAAGGCAAGAGACAGTACAAACAGCTAGCAACACAAATGCCAAAAAGGAACAGAATTTGCTTAACACTATAAAATCACATCTTAGAAGCCTGAGTAATTTTCACAGAAAAATAAAAGGGAAAATGAGTCACTTAGTATAAGAACACACAATACTTTTCACAGAATTTTATACTTCTCCTGATCTTTTTTTTCTTTCTTGTCCAGGTAGGAGTAAGATAAGATACATGAGAGATACATAAGATACATAAAAATACAATATATAAACTCTGTAATTTGCTTTATTTTCTTATGGTCTTAGATTGAGGGTTTCTGACTTCTTTCTCCTCCCCATCAATTTGGGAGTTTATCATCAATTTGGGACTTTGCTCCTCAATGCCCTCACCTGCTTTCTTCTTCCCACTCCTATTTAACTCTTACCAAATTGAGTATCTTCTGTCTTTCATTGTCCACAGTGAACCTGTCTCTCCACTTCCAACTCTCCTGACCCTAGTCCTTCAGTCCATTACATGGAACTCTTTTCTCTTTCAGTCATGCCTTTTTATTGCTGTTGTTCATGTGTCCATTTATCACAACTCCTTGAATATATGGACAACGCCATCAGCAAACAGGTCTTTTTTTTCCACACACACACAAATCACATTCTTTGGCTCTACCCAGTTGCCTCCACAAAGTCCCCCTCTGCCCTTTTCTGTACTGCTGCATGTCACGTGAGATTAAAAGAAGCCCAGAATTAGTCTAATCACAATCTAATCAGGACTGTTCTTCACAGACAAGCTTCTAAAATCAACTTGTGAGTAAACTAGCAGGTCTAACACCTTTAATTCAGCTTCTACTGTTCCGGTCTAATCCCAGTACTTGAATTCTTTCAGAAGGAGAGAACAAATCTATGTTTACTTGAGGTGGGAAATGGGGAGGTGGAGAAAGGTTAGGGAGAAATTGGGTAAAGGACACAAAGAATAATTACAATCTATAATAATGATTTGATCGTCTTATATTGTACACAAATAATGATAGTGCCATACCTCCAAAATACATATAATCAATTATGCTCCAATAATAGTAATAAAAAATACTTGAATTCTTTCTGGGAACACACTTTCCAGCATGAGCCTGGGCAAAAAGTTGACTCTCAAAACCCAGGAGAGAAGGAAGTGAATAACTGCAGGTTGAGAACGGTGGTCGGGACAATTCACACTCTAGGAAGGGACAGTCATACCTTTGTAATTGCAGTGAAGACCTTTTCCAGAATGGCATTTGGCTGGGCAATTTGTGGTCCACTGGCCTGAATGTTGAGGGCTATGGCACATGGTTTGGCTACAAATCTAAAAATTGAAGAAAAAAAAAAAGTCAGAAGTTATTCTTTCTATAGTTGTTTTCAATGCCACCAGTTATACATTACTAAATTGTCCCAATAAAGTGCTGATAGAATGTTATGGGTGTACTGTGTCAACATTCACATCAGTAACTATAAAGCAGACTGAACTGTTTTTCTATGCCCCAGCAGTAACAGGAAAAAAATAAATCCCTGTAAAACATTTAAACCCTCTGATCCTCAAGTTCTAATGAGACTCAACAGACAGACCATCAAATGAAAGCATAAGTGAATATGTAAGATATATGAGGGTACTTCAAAAAGTTCATGGAAAGATCCACATTATCTTTTAATGCCATTTTTCCAGGGACTTTTTGAAGTACCCTCGTATAAATAAAACAATTAATGATTTTAAAATCGTATAACTTATGCTCTTCTTACTAACACATAGCAGTAATCATGTTACATACTTTTACTGTGAGAAAGTGTTTACTAAGCACCCGATTACAGATGCAGAGAGAGCACCTTTGATTACCCCTAGTCATAAGCTTGGCCACCTTTGCCCTTACACTCCAAATGTGCTATACTCTACCCCAATCTCTGTGGCTTCTTTAAATTTTCTATTTTGTGGTTATTTGCCTCTTTCTCATAAAGAATAATGAAGGAAGTCAAATGACATGATCTTCCAGTTTAAAAGTTAAAAAGTCTAAGTATTTACGAGCACCAGCTAAACTGTTTTTATACTTAGGCAAATGCCTATGTCAAGAAGAATGGGAAGACGGAGCCTCACTTCTGGTCACATTTGATGTGTGAATGAGGCTCTGAAGGAGAACATGTGGAGTGCATTTCTAATAAAACTATGTGAAAAAGAAAAAGCATTTAGAGATTTAAGAGTTATTTTAGACTAAAAGCTGAAGAAATAAGATTGTGTAAATAATCATTTTCAGTAATGACATTTAACATTTTCTACTAATATGGAATAATTTAATATCATATGAAAGCATTACCAAGTTAATTTAATGTTGGCCAAAGGTAACAACTGATAAATGAGTCAATCTTAGATGATGTTTCTTTAATAATAGTCAACAAGATTAAGAGAACAGCACGCAAAAAAGGATTTTTTAATTTAAGTGGGACTAGTAAGGTTTACATACACAGTACCACATAATACTCTACTGGGTCCTATTTCAAGTAAAAATGAAGAAATTTATTCAAACAGGAAAATGGAACACTGTACAGGTACAAGCTTAAACCAGGAAAGATATACACAGAAAATGCAGTACAATATCTGTTACACTGGGTTATCTGGGACAAAGTGGGAAAGAAAGAATAATCAGCCTTTCCCAATATATAAATCTTCTAGAAACTGGAGTTTTCCCAAAATATTTGCATTCTCAATTTTTTTCTTGTAAAGTTTTCTGACACGTATTACCTACGTCCCTACCTTCTTGAGAAGTGTAACCTTCTCCTAATGTCTCTGGGTCTTCGCTATGGACAAAATCATGGAGGCATGGCTGTAGCTATAGTGGCAAAAGAAATGCAACGTGACGGGCAGTGACCACAGTTTCCTGTGTAGAGCACAGACTTGTTCCCTTGACAAAAGTCCCTGCTTTGTGGTTACTCTCCTCCTCATCACAGGTAGAATGAAGGATGTGAAAAGACACGAGGTCCAATAAAAATGACAGACAAGGTAAAAAAGCAAATTAATGTGGTGTAAAGGCCAAAATCTACTCTTCCAGCGGTTTCCTTCTACCCTTCCCAGTTGGATTCCTCCCCAGCCATCCCATGTCTTCTCTGTTCTCACAGCTTCTGATACACTGTGATCAAATTCCCTTTTGGACTTTGTCATCATCATCCTTGTAAAAATCTGCCCATCTAGAACAAGGTTGTCTTTCTTCTTCTAAATAGTGAAGAGTTCACATGCAGAGGCTGATCATTTCATCTCCATATACCCAATGACAATGCCTGGGGCAAACACAGGAGGGGGTCAAGAAATGTGATCGGCTGGCTCTCCTCAGTAAATACATTTTCACTGTTTTTATGGTTTTAAGTGCTGCTGACAAGTTAACAGACATTCTCTTTGTGCCCCTTAACAATGTGTGGGCACGCACTAGGGGAGTCAAGAAATTTACTCAACAAAATTTCTTCAATAGCAACTTCTTTACCTTTGCTATCATCTTCCAGTAACTTACAAAAGCATTCAAATAAAAATTTTTTTTAGTATTTGTTACACAATACAATGTTTTATACCTCCCTATCCCTCTTTTTAAGCTTCAAACCACTTTTTAAAAGTTCTATTTTCTCTAAATTTTAAGAATGAATGCAATAGCATCTTAAAGAAGGCATAACCCTCGATCACCAAACTCAAAGGTGATGCTCTATAAACAGATTTTTAAAGCAACATCCAAAGGACAGAGTAGGAATCATCTCTGCTATTATCTGGTTGTGGAGTTCTAGTTGCAGAAATTAATCTCTCTGTGCCTTAATCTCCTCATACGTAAAAAATGATTTTAATTACATATGCACATGTATGTATACATACAAATACATGTATACGTTTAAAGATGTTACACAGTCCCTTGTCTAAAATTTTTCACATGAACCATGTGTGAGCATTCAATGAACGTTTGATGGATGTGTGAATAAATGAACAAATGAATGAACAAATCAGCTAAAATCCAATGGAGTGTAACTTTATCATCTTTTCCACCAAGGCTATACATTTTAATTCTCTTGAATATCCACATCTACTCAGGGTCATTGGGACACAGAGGGTAGGAGACTGTAGTGGATTGAATCATGTCCCACCAAAACCCACTGATGCTTGAATTGTGTCCCCCAAGTTTTATGTATTAGGAACTTAGCCCCTACTGTGACTGTAAAAAGGGTGGGAAATCCTATTATGGTAATTGAAAGGTGGAGCCTTGAAGAGGTGATTGGGTTGTAGGATCCTGCAGTAGTGAATGGATTAAAAATGATGGTTGGGGCATGGTTCTGAGTGCTTTAAAAGAAGAGGAGAGTGTGTCTTTCTCTCTCTCTGCTCTCTCTGCTTCCACCGTCTTGAACGTGAGACCCCTGGGTCACTGTCATTACCACCAGATGGACTTTGGACTTCCCAGCCTCAGAAACTGTAAGCAATAAGTGTTTTTCTTTACAAATCACCCGGTTTCAGGTATTCTGTTACAGCAACACAAAATGGACTAATACAGAGACTGACCATTACAATATGAGAAGCTATTTTCTACAATTCCCATGTCACTATGTTGTCAATTCAACTTATCCAGTACAGAGAGCAAATACTTAATTTCTAATATTTAAAAGAAATGCATAAAATAGATAGAGAAAGATAATCTGAAATCCCAAATGAGAGTAGAAGAGAAGGGGAGTGTATAACTCTTACCTTCCTAATAGATATTCTCGATTATGTGAAAATATAGAGATTTTATTTGTGTTTAATCTCCAGAGAATCTGTGAATCACTTGTAGTATTATTTTTTTTTTTCAGAGAGCATATTAGATATCAAATAAACCCATGACACAACTACTACATTTTTATCATCTTCTGTCATGGTCCATTAGAGAAGACCTGGATTTTTTTTTTTTTTTTCTTTTTCCCCAGTGCTGTCTCTAAGAGAAATAAGTTCACAAAAGCTGTCTTTCACAATAGTTATCTTAAAAGAGAGAGAGACAGAGACACAGCCAGAGACAGAGAAACAGATAGATGGGGAAAGGGCAGAGCACATACAAATACAGTAGTTGAAAGGAAATATGTACTTTCAAGCTTCGATGATTACTTCTACCAGGAAATGCTCACCTAATTACTTTTTATCAAAGGCAGCAGCACCACCTTCAAAAGATCAAACATCTGTACAGTACTTTCATGTACTATATTTGGAAGTAAATATAATAAATATGTAAGCTTTGAAAAAGACTAGTCTTGGTTAAAAAGCAGAGAAAACACCTATGGCATTCTTTCTTTTCCATTCTATTTAACAATATGTGTTTGTATTTTAAACATGAATTAAACATCTCTGCCCAAGGTACTGAAGTAAAATCTGGGCAGTGGTGTGCTGAGAAGTATACACAAAACCTTAAGTGATCCTTGCACTCACAGAAGTTTACAATCTGTAAAAGTAGATTATAAAAAAAGAAACATTTACAGAGTCTATGTCATTGTTCTAATTACTTGAAAGTATTTAATTATCTTCAGTGGATACATGGCCAGAGATTTTTAGTCCTTTCTAACTGTAGCATTCCTAGACTTTTTAAAGATAATTGGGAGGCTATGATGGTGGATAAATAAACCTATACATTTGATAAAATTGCATAGGATTAAATCGCACACACATACACACAAATGAGCACAAGTAAAATTGAGAAAATCTGAATAAGATGGGTAGATTATATCAACGTCAATATCCTGATTGTGACGTTACACCACAATTTTGCAAAATGTTACCACTGGAGGAAACTGGGTAAAGTATACATGAGAGCTCACTGTATTACTTCTTGCAACTGTATGTGAATCTACAACTATTTTAATAAAGATTTCAATTAAAAATAATTGGAAGGTACATTCTGTTTTTGATGTGGAGGAATGAGCTCCTAACAAACATTTTTCATCTTTAAAAACTCTGCACACCACCCTCTCCTTACACCCCCCCCCCAAAAAAAAAAGAAAAACACTATTTGAGGGCTCTGGAGAGTGAATAAAAGCAGACTTTGGAAGAGAGTCAAAAGCAACCAGCAAAGACCAAGCTCCCTGTTTATTTATATATTTATTTTGGAGCTCTATCATGAGATCAGATACAGTCACAGTAGCAGGTAAACCTTTGAAAGAAAAACGCATCCTCCTTCTAGCTGGAGGAAACATGGGAAAGAGCCTGGGGAAATCAGAGAGTGATTAGAGAACCATGAAAGGGAAAAAGCCTGAGAAGCAAACCCTAATTCTGTGTATAAACCAAGCATGATCATGGCTGACTTCTGAACCATGAACGTGCAAGGTAAACTG